AACTCCACAGCCAGATCCTGCTTTTCCTGGCTGTGATTTCTTAACCCTTTGTCCCATTCCATTTGAATGGAATTTTTGGGGTTGGAACTCACCCAGACTCCGGAGCAGCTCCTGATTTTCCTGGCTGTGCTATCCCTATGTAATTCCCTCTTTTCCCATCCAGGCTCTATCCTAATTTGTCCCAGTCCCTTCTAATGGAATTTATGGGTGAAACTCCTCCAAAATCCAGAGCAGCTCCTGGTTCTCCTGGCTGTGTAATTCCCTCTCTTCCCATCCAGGCTCTATCCTAATTTATTACCACTTTTTCCCATTCCATTTGAATGGAATTTTTGGGTGAAACTCCTCCAAAATCCAGAGCAGCTCCTGGATTTCCTGGCTGTGATTTCTTAACCCTTTGTCCCCGTTCCATTGGAATGGAATTTTTTGGGGTGGATCCCTCCCGTTTTTCCCGGGCCCTCCCGTGATTCCGTGTCCGTAATTCCCGCAGGCCGGCTGCATGTACGTGCACGGAGGGGTGGTGAACATCCACGAGAACAAACGGACTGGCTCCCTCTTCAAGCTGTGGCTGGTGGTTCCCAGCCTGCTGGAACTGTGCTGGGAAAAGCTCCTGGAATATTTCCCCCACTTGGCCGCCCTGTCCCGGCCTCAGCTCCTGCACCTCGGACTCACCCAGGGACTGGTGGAGCGGCTAAAATGAGGGAGCTGCTCCCCCCTCCGACCCCCCCCAGAGATTCCCTGTGCTGCAGAACCCCCTTCCCAGCCTTATTTATGGACACCCTGGATCGGTGGGAATGCCTGCCCGGAGCCTCCATCCCGCAAATCCGGCGCCGCCTTCCGGGACCTTCGGAGCCCTGTTGGGAAAACAAACAGACAAACAGACAAACAAAAAAAAAAAATCCCCTTTTTATTTATGGAGCTCCCACATCCCAAAACCTTCCCTGGGACTCATCCGACCACCTGGGATTAATTAGGGAGCTAATTAAGGAATGTCCACCCGCGCTGACTGACGAGGAACGGTCGCCGCACAACCACCCCCGTCCAGCTGCTCTTTTCCCGGGATAACTCATCCCTCCCTCTCGGCTGAGCTCCCCCTCTCCCATCCCAACAACCCCTCCTGAGCTCCCCCTCTCCCATCCCAACAATTCCCAACAGTCCCTCCTGCTCTTTGCACGTGTTTCCCGGGCCGTATTCCCGCAGCTTTCCCCGGAGCAGCGCTTGGAAACAACCCCCCCTTGCCCCTCCTTGAGAGAGGTTTCCTTGGAAAACCAGAGGGAAAAGCTGCCCTTCCATGGAGCTGGAGCAGGAGTGGGGAGGGAGAAGCTTTGCCTGAGGCTGTCTTTGAACCTTTCCTGCTCATGGAATGAGCCCCAGGAAAACTCACCCCGTGGATTTCGGGCTCCAAACCCCCCCCCCAGCTCTCGGCCTCTCCCGGCTTTTCCGCTTTCCCTCCTTCCCACACGTCATTCCCAGCCCTTTTCCTCGTGTCACCACCGTCCCTGCTCCCTTTAAAACCGGTTTTAAGTGTGGAAAGGCCCAGGAAATCCCGGGGGGAAAGAGCAGGGAGAGGGATCCAAGGGAGCAGGGAAGGAGGGGCTCCATGCTCTGGACCTTCAGCTCGGCTCCGGAGCCCGGAATTCCCGCTAAATCCTTCCTTTCCCGTCTCAGCCCATTTTTTTAAGTGCCTTTTCTTTTAAACATCAGCTTTTCCCGCTCCCCCAGGGCTGGGCTTCCAGCTCCAAACTGGGCTTTTAGTTCCCTTTCCAGAGGCTGCATTCCCATCCCAATAAACCGGAGCGGCGTCTCCGCGGCACCGATCCCGAGGGTCCTGCCTGCTGCCGTCGCTGCCATCCCGGAGAACTCACCATCCCAAAAAAAACTCACCTTCCCTGGGCCTGGGTGGGGGTTTTCCTCCTTCTCCACCTTCACTTCCTGCTTTTTTTCCCCCTCCAAGGCTCAGGAAAAATCGAAGCTGAGGCTTCCCGGGGCGCTTCGGAGCAACAGGGTCCTTGGGTCTTTTCCTTGGAATTGGGAGGTTTTGGATCTTGGGGGTCTTTCCCAACCTTCATGATGTTGTTCCAACCCCTTTCCCAGCCTCCCTGGCTGCAGATCCCGCCGATCCTGGCTGGGGAGCTGGATCCAGCCCCCCCTGGCAGCTCTGGGAAGGGTTCCTGGTTTGGGATCCTTCCATCCCAAACATCCACCTTTGCCTTCCCGGTCCTGCCAGGACCTTTTTCCTGGAGCATCCTGCTCATCCCTGTGCTGGTTCTCCCCTTCCAGGAGCATCTCCCACTGTTCCCAGGATCATCCAAGCCTGGATATCTGTGAGCCAGCAGCTTCCTGAGGCTCTTTCCTTGCTCTGGAAAACTCCAGAGCTTTCCTCCGAGGGAGGAAAGCAAAGCCCCTCTCTCCATGATTTTTGGGAATCTGGAGAGGTCCCAGCCGGTTGGAAGGTGGGGAATTTCGGGAAGGGCGAGGAGGAGGAGCCTGGAAAATCCAGGCCTGGTAAAATCATGGAAAAGATTATTCCAGGAAGTGTTGGAAAGCAGCTGGAGGGACAACACCCAGCACAGGGTCGGGAGGGGAAATTCCTGCTCATCCCACTGATTTCCTTCTGGGACAGGGAATCCCACCTGGCTGGTCCAGGAAAGCCAGCAGGTGCAGTCTGTGGTACTGCCTCTCCCAGGATTCTTCTGGAAAAGCTGTCCAGGATACAGCTGGATAAACACACCCTGTGGGAGGTGAGCAACCTGCTCACGGACTGGGAACAGAGAATTCCCGGGAATGGGGGGACACCGGGCTGGCACCGGGCACTGGGGGGGTTCCACGGGGCTCCATCGTCATCCCAGGGCTCTCCAACATCTTCCTGGGCCACGGGGCTCCAAGGAAGGCCAAGTTTTCCAACTTGGGAAGGAGCTGTTGGCTGCCTGAGGGCGGGGAAGGGTCTGGAAGGACCATCCCGGGAATGTCTGAGGGCACCGGGATTGTCCAGCCTGGAGAAGGGGAGGGAGACTCACCGGGGTCTTCAACATCCCTGTGGGACCCTCCACCCACAGCCTGGAGCTGCTCCCACCGGGAAAACCATGGAATAAACACCCAGGGATCCCATAAATCGGGTAAAGGCCTCACCCGCTGCTGGATTTCCAGGGATTGCTCCCATTCCAGCACCCAGGTGTGGCTGGAGCATGAGGGGATCTTGGAAGCTGCTTTTCCTAAAACAGGGACTTGTTTTGGGCTCCCAGTGGAGGGTTTGCTGGGATTCCTGCTGGGGGGCTTTGGGAAGGAGAAAAGCTTGGATTACAATTCCCTAAGGGAAAGGATCCAGCAGCGATGGAGAGGAGATGGGAGCAGCCACGGCGGGGCCTGGGATGGGGACAGGACACAGGGAAAGCCCAGGAATTCCCTGTTTCCCTCAATCCCACGGCACTGAGCGGGTTCTCCCACATCCACCCTCCCATCCCACCCTTTCCCATCCCTGCCCAGGAATCCTCCCAGACCATCCATGCCGGTGCCAGGATTGTCCAAGCTGGGAAAACAAAGCAGTTTCATTAATCCCTAAGGAGCTTCTGCTCCCGGGAATCCCGGGGGGATCCCAGGACATTCCAGAGCCCAACATTCCCATGAGCAGCACTGCCATTCCCAGCTTGGATCCCCATGGAGCTGGAGAGGGAAGGGGCATAGGAGCCTCCTTACCTGTGTCCTGGGATCTGCCAGGGCTTGGGATCGGGTTTAAAGCTCTGGTACTAAACCAGCCCAAGGCCCGGCTTTGTCCTGTCCCTCATCCCAGCACTTCCTGCTCCTGGAGGGAAACATTCCCAGCCCGGGAACAACACCCGGAGCATCCCCCTGGACCCTGGGAGCAGCTTCCCAAAGGGCTTGGGAAAAGCCGGGAATGAGGCGGGATCAGGAGCTGGGGCTGCTCCCTGGGGGTTTGAAATCCAGGCTGGGAGAGCTGGGGGGGTTCCCCTGGAGAAGGGAAGGCTCCAGGAAAACCTTGGAGCCGCTTCCAGGGTCTAAAGGGGTTCCAGGAGAGCTGGAGAGGGACTGGGGACAAGGGATGGAGGGACAGGACACAGGGAATGGCTTCCCAGTGCCAGAGGGCAGGGATAGGTGGGATATTGGGAAGGAATTGCTGGCTGGGAGGGTGGGGAGGGACTGGAATGGAAATTCCAGAGAAGCTGCCCCTGGATCCCTGGAAGTGTCCAAGGCCTGGATGGAGCAACCTGGGACAGTGGAAGGTGTCGGGGTTGGAACTGGTTGATCCCAAAATCCCTTCCCACTCAAACCATTCCAGGATTGTTGAAGTGCTCCGGGAGCTCCCGGGAGCTTGTGCCGAGCTCAAACAATCCCCCATCCCAAAAAACTGTTGGGGGGGGAGGCAATCCCTGACTTCTCCCTGGGAGAGCCTGGAGAAGGAAGGACACGGCCTGGTGGACAAGGCCAGGCTGGGAAGGACTTTGGAAGGACTCCAGGCTGGAGCTTTGGGAAGGCCCTGGAGAAACCCAGAGCCCGGTGGCGCTGAGACAGAGGACATGGAATGCTGACGTGGAATGCTGACATGGAATGCTGACATGGAATGCTGTCCTGCTCCAACCAAGCCATCCCCAAGGATCATGGAAGGAGAGCCCACCCCGTGTGTGGTTTGTACAAAAAGTGCTTTAATGCCCAAACTGCTCCGAAACCCCCCGGGGCGCCTCCGAACAGCCCCCTCCCCATGATCCCAAAACTCCAACTCCCTCCCTGGGATCACCTTCCCCAGCCCCTTCTCCCAGTGCAACGCTTCCCAAGGGAAGGGTCTGTCCCGGGAACCCCCTTCCAGCCCCTCCTTTTTAGGGATAACGTCCCTTGGGACGCGCCAGGGGGGCTGGAAGTGCCCCTTGGGAAACTCCTCCGTGACTCATCCCAGGAGCAATTCCACGGCCACCAACCCTTCCCACCCTTCCCAAAGCCCCCCCTGGAGGGGCCGGGCGGCAGCAGGAGCTCTGGGAATGGTGCTTCCAGCCCGGAGCCAGTCCCTGAGATCCCGGAGAACTCCTGGAAGCCGCCGCGGGTCGGGAGAGGCCGGAGCTCAGCAGCCACTGGGAGAGGGGGCGAAGAAGTAAACGGCCAGGAGGATGAAGTAAACCATCACCAGCACCGTGCCTGGGGGGGACACCACGGGAGGGGGGAGTTATTCCATGGAGAAAGGAGGGAAAGGGATTGGAGACCTCCTGGGGTGGCCTGGATGAGCCCCCTGGGGAGGGATTTCGTGGGCCTCTGCAAAAATCCCAATTAAAAGGGATTTTAAACCATTTTAAGGGTTAAATGGGAATGATTCCCCTTGGAGCAGCTCCAGGATGGTCAATCAAGACCCCAGGAGAGCAGGTGGGAGGGAGTTATTCCATGGAGCAAGGAGGGACATGGATTTGAGTCCCCTGGGGAGGGATTTCGTGGGCCTCTGAAAAATCCCAATTAAAAGGGATTTTAAACCCTTGTTTAAGGGTTAAATGGGAACAATTCCCCTTGGAATCGTTCCAAGAGCTCAGGAGAGCAGGGGGGAGGGAGTTACACCCCAGAGCAAGGAGGGAGGTGGTTTTGGGGTCTGAATGAGCCTCCTGTGGAGGAATTTCATGGGCCTCTGCAAAAATCCCAATTAAAGGGGGATTTAAGGGCTTTTTAAGGGTAAAAAGGGATTCCCCTGGGAGCTGCTCCAGGATGGTCAACCAAGAGCTCAGGAGAGCAGGGGGGAGGGAGTTATTCCATGGAGCAAGGAGGGAAGGGGATCTGAGACCTCCTGGGGGTTCTGGGTGAGTCCCCTGGGGAGGACTCTCATAGGCCTCTGCAAAATCCCAATTAAAGGGGATTTTAAACCATTTTAAGGGTTAAATGGGAGTGATTCCCCTTGGAGCAGCTCCAGGATGGTCAACCAAGAGCTCAGGAGAGGAGGTTGGAGGGAGTTACAACCTAGAGCAAGGAGGGAGATGGTTTTGGGGTCTGGAAGACTTCCATGGGCCTCTAGAAAATCTCAATTAAAGGGAGTTTAAACCCTTTTTTAAGGGTAAAAAGAGATTCCCCCTTGGAACAGCTCCAGCACCTCCAAGGTGCCCAACCAAGACCCCAGGAGAGCAGGGGGGAGAGTTACTCCCTGGGGTAAGGAGGGAGGTGGTTTTGGGGTCTGAATGAGCCCCTGTAGAGGACTTTCGTGGGCTTCAGCAAAAATCTCAGTTAAAAGGGGTTAAAAACCCTTTTTTAAGGGTTAAATGGGAGTGATTCCCCTTGGAGCAGCTCCAACATGGTCAACCAAGACCCCAGGAGAGCAGGAATGACCCCAGGAGAGCCCCCTGTAAAGGACTTCCACAGGCCTCTGCAAAATCCCAATTAAAAGGGGTTTAAACCCTTTTTTAAGGGTGAAAAGTGAGGGAAGATTCCCCTTGGATCAGCTCCAGCACCTCCAAGGTGCCCAACCAACCCCAAAGGATCGCTCAGGTCACCCCACACCAGGAGCTGCTGTGCCGAGGATCCCCCAGGGGTGGATCCAGGACCCCCCCACCCCACCCCACGAGCCACGGGGCCACCCAGGTCACCTTGGAAATAGTCACATTTGCCGTCCATGAAGATGTAGTTCATGAGCACCACGCTGAACATGCTGGCGTAGACGTGCAGGTCGCTGAACACCAGCGTGAAGTTGGTGGGCTGCGGGATTTTGGGATGAGGGGGATGAGCGGGATTTGGGGATGAGCGGGATTTTGGGATGAGGGGGATTTTGGGATGAGCGGGATGAGGGGGATTTTGGGATGAGGGGGATTTTGGGATGAGGGGGATTTTGGGATGAGGGGGATTTTGGGATGAGCGGGATGAGGGGGATTTTGGGATGAGGAGGATTTTGGGATGAGGAGGATTTTGGGATGAGAAGGATTTTGGGATGAGGGGGATGAGGGGGATTTTGGGATGAGCGGGATGAGGGGGATTTTGGGATGAGTGGGATTTTGGGATGAGGGGGATTTGGGGATGAGGGGGATTTGGGGATGAGGGGGATTTGGGGATGAGGAGGATTTTGGGATGAGGGGGATGAGGGGGATTTTGGGATGAGGGGGATTTGGGGATGAGGGGGATTTGGGGATGAGGGGGATTTGGGGATGAGTGAGATGTCCCCAGCCCCAGCGGGGGGGTGTGGGGGGTCTGTGTGTCACCCCTGAACCCCCTCCCCGTGCCACCCACCGGGGCAGGGGACATCAGACCCGCTGTGAGACACCAGGAGTGGGAGTGTCCCCTCCCCGTGTCCCCCTGTGTGTCCCCAGCCCCGCGGGGGGACGTCCCCCGGGCTCTGCACTCACGTAGAAGATGGTGAAGAGCACCAGGATGGGGATCTGGAGCATGCAGACCTGCACGGCGATGCAGCTCCCGATCTCGATGCTGGGGGAGGAAGGAGGACTCGGGAGCCGCCCTCGGAGCGAGGGAAACCCGCCCCGGGGGGAACCGGCCACGGCCCATCCCGCTCTGATCCCGCTTTTGGAGCCCCCTCGAGGGCAGGTTGGCAAGATCTGACCCGCCAGGGGCTGGGCAGCCCATCCAGGGCAGCGGGAGGGACCGGGAGAGGCAGGGGCAGGGGCACCAGCCCAGAACCCCTCCCTGGAGCCACCTCACCTGAGGCTCAGGTTGTTCTGGAGGGCGAACTGGATGCCGTTGACAATCTCTGGCAGCTCAGGCACCATGGCCAGCACGGTGACACCGATGAAGTACTGCAGGGGACAGGGGACACCGGCCTGGTCCAACCACAGCCTGCAGCTCCCCGGGGCGAGCAGCAGCTCAGCACCTTCTCCCCACGGCTTCTGGGGCTCAAACCGCACCCTCAGGGCGGGTTCCCAGCCCTGACTGGGGTGTCTTGGTCCCCAGGGTCACCCAACCCTGTGTCCCCCGCTGTCCCCACGCCCGTCTCACCTGGGAGATGGTGGAGTTGGTGAGGATGGGGCTGATGTGCTCCGTGGCCAGGTCGGCACAGGCCGACATGCACAGCGTGGAGAGCAGCAGGATGACCAGGGCACGCCAGCGGGACCAGTGCACCACGGGGCTGGGGTGGTGGCCTGGCACTGGGGGGGACAGAGACACACACTGGGATCAGGGACACACTGGGACCAGTGCACCACAGGGCTGTGGTGGTGTCCTGGCACTGGGGGGGGACAGAGACACACTGGGACCAGTGACAGTGGGACCAGGGACACACTGGGACCAGAGACACATTAGGACCAGTGCACCACAGTGTTGGGGTGGTGTCCTGGCACTGGGGAGGGACAGAGACACACACTGGGACCAGAGACACATTAGGACCAGTGCACCATGGGGCTGTGGTGGTGTCATGGCACTGAGAGGGACAGAGACACACTGGGACCAGGGACAGTGGGACCACAGTGACAGTGCACCACAGGGCTGTGGTGGTGGCCTGGCACTGGGGAGGACAGAGACACACTGGGACCAGGGACACACTGGGACCAGTTCACCATGGGGCTGTGGTGGTGTCATGGCACTGAGAGGGACAAAGACACACTGGGACCAGTGACAGGGGGACGAGGGACACACTGGAACAAGGGACAGTGGGACGAGTGCACCACAACACTGGGGTGGTGTCCTGGCACTGGGGAGGGACAGGGACACACTGGGACCAGGGACAGTGGGACCACAGTGACAGTGCACCACGGTGCTGTGGTGGTGTCCTGGCACTGGGAGGGACAGGGACACTGTGGGACACCCTGGAGCACCGGGAATGGGGCCTGGGGACACACTCACTGTGGCAGTCGCTGACGTGGATGTCGTAGATGTGGGAGTGGGTTTTGAGGGTGAAGCAGAGCCCCACGAGGTACCCGGCGGGGAGCAGCAGGGACACCGTGTACACCAGGGGTCTGTGGGACACGGGGGACACGTCAGGGCCACCAAGGCCCGGCCTGGAGACCCCCAGGGAGCAGCAGGGATGGGGGAGCAGGAGCAGGACACGCACTGGACGTGGCTGTAGTAGAGGGTGCCGTTGTTGTCCATCTGTGGAGAGAGCACCGGTCAGTGGGGACATGGGGGACAAGGGACAGCCCTGCTGCCACCCCCCAGCACCAGAGTTGGGGGGTCAGGGCATCCCCAGCCCCAAAACTCCCGTTAGAAAATCCCAGAGTGTTCTGAGCTGGAAGGGACCCACAGGGATCATCAAATCCAGCTCGTGGACATGAACGGCCACACAGGGACTGAACCCACAACCCAGTGCAGCACCAGGCTCTGACCCACTGGGTCAATCCCAGGCCCATGGTTAATCCCAAACCCAAACTGGAAGGACCCACAAGGATCATCAAGCCCTGCTTATAACTGAACAGTCCATACAGGGACTGAACCCACCACTTGGCATTGTAGCACCAGGCTCTGACCAACTGGGTTAATCCCAAACCTGTGCTTAATCCCAAACCCAAACTGGACCCACAGGGATCATCAAGTTCAGCTCATAAATGAATGGCCATACAGGGACTGAACCCACCACCTGGCATTATTAGCACCAGGCTCTGACCAACTGGGTTAATCCCAAACTTGTGCTTAATCCCAAGCCTGTGCTTAATCCCAAACCCAAACTGGACCCACTGGGATCATCAAATCCAGCTCGTGGACATGAACAGCCATACAGGGACTGAACCCACAAGCCTGGCACTGCAGCACCAGGCTCTGACCCACTGGGTCAATCCCAGGCCCATGGTTAATCCCAAACCCAAACTGGAAGGACCCACAAGGATCATCAAGCCCAGTTTATAACTGAACAGCCCATATGGGGACTGAACCCACCACCTGGCATTTTAGCACCAGGCTCTGACCCACTGGGTTAATCCCAAACCTGTGCTTAATCCCAAACCCAAACTGGACCCACTGGGATCATCAAATCCAGCTCATGGACATGAACAGCCATACAGGGACTGAACCCACAAGCCTGGCACTGCAGCACCAGGCTCTGACCAACTGGGTTAATCCCAAGCCTGTGCTGAATCCCAAACCTGTGCTGAATCCCAAAATCGAGCTGGACCCACAGGGATCATCAAATCCAGCTCATGGACATGAATGCCCATACAGGGACTTGAACCCACAACCCCGGCACTGCAGCACCAGGCTCTGACCAGCTGGGTTAATCCCAAGCCCGTGGGTGACCCCAAGCCCGTGGGTGACCCCAAGCCCGTGGGTGACCCCAAGCCCCCTGCCAGGCCCCCCTGTCCCCTCACCAGGTCGAAGTGACAGTTGTGACACAGGTAGTGGCCCAGCGGGTTCTGGGTGACGTTGTGGCACTCGCCGCACACCAGCTTCCCGTAGACCTTGGAGAAGAGCGTCGGGGCAAAGACTCCTGTGGGGACAAAGGGGCACGGGGTGGGCACCCAAACCCCGGTGGGACCCCCCAGAGCTGGGGACACACCCGTTTACCCACTGACCTCCCACGGAGAGGAAGAGCAGGGCGGAGCTGACGCCGGCGGAGCGGCTGTTGAAGCGCTGCTCCTGGTGCCGGATGCCCCCGATGACCATGCACAGACCCTGGGGGGACAGACCCCAAAAACCCCTCAGGGCACAGCTACACACCCAGGGGGGAAGGGACACACCAAAAGGGGGAGAGGGGGACCTGCCAGTAAAAGTGAGGAAGGGGACCCATCCCAAAAGAGGGGGAAGGGGGACCCAGTCCAACAAAGTTGGGAAGGGACCCACCTATAAAAGTGGGAAAGGGGGACCCACCCCAAAAGAGGGGAAAGGGGGACCCACCAAAAAA